CTCTAAAACGTATTTGATTTACCAAATATGGGACTCCCATCTTCCGGTTCGTCGGTAAAACGTAACTCCTCTGTATTGAGAGCTCCGTGAGCGAGGACCACGTCGGCTTTTATTTATCGGCGGCGATATCTCCGGCACCGCCTCTTCCGGTCGACCCGACCCACTCGGATCCGACTGACTGACACATTGGCTTCTAGTGAAACTGGTCCCGGATATTTCCCGAACTTCCGGTTCCATGTCTTGACCCGGGAAAAAATTCCGGGTCACCGGCGGTACAGACAACTTCCACGTGGCGGATTGGTTAATCGAGCTTGACACGTGTCCAACCCGATTCCCTCTACCGTCGGATTCATCGTGATGATCGGGTGAGTCGTTAAGGTTCCACATTTTTTTTTTTTTAAAGAGGAAAAAAAAAAGAAAAAGAAATTGGGAGCAACAAAGAGAGAAGACTCGGATAGGAGAGAACCATCAAAACAACAAGGTGGGTTCGAATAAATAATAACGATCGATATGAATAAAAATCATATTATTATTTGAATATAATAAAGATCTGCTTGCAGGATTTTTTATCAATGAAATGAGTAAAGAACATTTATATTTTACATATATACATATTATGTTTATGAATAAATTTCTTTTGAAAATTAATGATTTCCCAATAAAAGTGCACTAGTTGGTTTCCTAGTTTTGGTCTCCTGAGCATTGACATCACAATTTTCTTTACATATAAAGGGAAATTAAATTCAAAATTTTACTGAAATAATTAATGATTTTAAAAAGCAGGATGTAGATGGGAGTATCCTATTTAATTTTGTATACTATATAGTTTCTCCTACTCCAACTGTTCGCAATTTATCACATTTTTCCTCTTTTTGTATGTGACGTATGATTAATTTACAATTTCCTTCCAGTGTATATACATAAAGAATTGTAAATATTGAACATTCTTTTTCGCGAGGGTTTGGATGATTTCCTAACGAATGTTGACTTGTCCTTACGAAATACTACCATAAAAATCTGTGGTTTTTGTCAACAGAAAATTACAAAATATAAAAAAACAAAATAGGATGAACAAATCCGTGAAAGAGTTTGGTAGGAGAAAAAAAGGAAACGGAAATAATGTGAGGGGCAAAAATTAAATAATGTATTACCGAAATTGCCCTCATCCAAGAGTACGGGAAATGCCTTTATTACAATCCTTGCTCCATTCTTTGCCGATAATTAATTATTAAACTAATCATTTTTTATATATTATACACTTAAGCACGCAAAGCATATTGTTTCTACTTTTTTTTTAACGCTTCGACTGTTTTTCTAATCGCTAAAGGCTCAAAAGTAATGGTTATTTCGTATACTGTTTGGTTTAAGATTCAATTGGAAGATCCATGAAA